GATAGTTCATTACCATGAGGTGCCATGTGGAACTTCCAGTGACTAGTCTGAAAGAGTGAGAGCGATAACACCTGTTCCCCCTTTCACACCCGAGACTTGTGACACTAATGGGTCTCATGACACCAGGGAGGGAAAACGGCTACTTAGGCCCAATTTGGACATGGTCACTTAGGGGTGTACTCACTTTTGTTGCCAGCAGTTTAGACATTAATGGCTATGTGCTGCATTGTTTTGAGGGGACAGCACATTTACACTGTTCTACAAGTTGTATACTCACTGCTGTACATTGCAGCCAAGTGTCCTTTCTTCAGTGTTGTCACATGAAAAGATATGCTAAAATATTTATGAAACGTGAGGGGGTGTACTCACTTCTGTGCTATACTGTATATCGTTTGTAGAGAAAATGACGTCGTTCCGACACTGCCTTTTATATTTGAAGGGATGACATTTTATTTATGTTACTCTATTTGATTGTTTCCTCTCTGGTTGTTACCAACAAGCTTAGAGAGAAGTGAGTAGCATCTCTTCTCTCCCAGGGTTTTTTTTTTTTTTTTTTTTTTGGTCCATTTGTAAAGTGGTATCTCTGAAGAGGAGAAACTCTTGCCCTCATGTGGACTCTACTTGTGAGCAACAATAAGATTTTTCCAGAGTTTTTGTTCGCATACAAAGCCTACAGTGTAAGCAAGGAGTTTTCTTCTTCAGACATGTCGTCTTTCATGTGCAGAGACCAATGGTGGAGAGGAGAGGGGTTAACTGTATGTATTAGCTGGAGAGGTAGAAACTAAACAGGGTTCATATCTTCCAACATGAAGAATCAGGTGTGGTTGACCAAAATAATGGCAGCTCTGAGTAACAATCTGTTTTTCCATTTTTGAAAAGAAGGCTCAACTTTTCCACCTATCCTGCTTCCAGGAATACCAGGAAGAGCTGCAGGCAAAAACATCAAACCATCACACATCGTGCCACAACCTTATTTGCATGTGTAGAGACTTCTCCTGCATTCTGCCCCAAGATTGTGAATTTGCAGCCAGTAAGGCATCAACATTAAGTGAGCCTGTTCATCATAACTACTTTTTTTGTATCGCTTTCCCTGCAGCTACACACATTGTACTGTATGGTAAACTGGACCTATCATTTCACACTCTGTTAATTTTTATCACTTATAAATGTTACTTATTCAGTTTCCTCAGGGTCTTCGATATTTTGCAGTAGAAGTACAGGACATACTTCCTCCATGACAAGATCACCATAATTTGAATCTTATCAGTGAGGAGAAAACAAATGGAAGAGAGACAAAAAGAACAACAGCTAAATAAGAGACCCATGGCACAGTGGTTAAACTGCTGTAATGACAGCCAAAACTGTGCTCACGACCTGGGGTTCAATCCCAGGTAGCCGGCTCAAGGTTGACTCAGCCTTCTATCCTTCCGAGGTCGGTAAAATGAGTACCCAGCTTGCTGGGGGGGGCATGTGTAGCCTGCATAATTAACTTGTAAACCGCCCAGAGAGTGCTTGAAGTGCTATGGGGCGGTATATAAGCAGCACGCCTTACTTTGCTTAAATATGAAGAAAGACAGCTAATTTGAAAATAACTGATATATTGCAGCCATAAATGATGAATGCTGAAAATTCTGCAAAATGTCCACTAGGAGTTCTATAATCTTGATTGTGTTCCTGTTTATATCCTGCCATGAGACTGGCAACAATGCCTCTGGACATGTGCTTGTACACTTTCCCATTACATGCATTTGCTAAAGGTCCACAAGACAGGGGGAAATCAGAAATAGAGCACCAAGACTTTAGCAATCTGTTGAAAAGTGGTAACAGTACCTCAGAGTTCAGCAGTTTTGTAAAATTAAATGTTGTAAAACCTCTTGCCCATTATAACAGCTTTGGGAAATGGAAAATAAGCACTACAATAAGCATGCAAAATATACAAAATCCTGGAAGCATAGTTACACCAGCATGAACGGGATCTAGGCACTGGAAATAATTAACTGCAATGAACTGAAAGCTTCCTACCCGCCGCCTTCATGTTCCAATGCTCTCAAGGGCTCTCTTTTGCCCTAGGCTTTCAGAGCCTTGGGATGGGAGAAAGGGTGAAGGAAAGACTTTAATAATAATAATAAAAATCACTGCCAAAGCTTTCTGTTTCTTTAATTTAATTATTTCCAGTGGCTAGATCTAGTTTACACAATTGCAACTATGCCAACAGGATTTTGCCCATGATAGTGTATTTGTCTATATAGGTGCAATTTTTAAACTGGCTACTTCTTTGTAAAGTGGAAACTAGTTTGTGCTAGTTTTGTCACTTCTGACGATTTTTAGGATCTACAGTAATCCCATCTCTCTTTAGAACTTTCTACATGTCTGCTCTGCTAGCTCTCACCCACCCACAGAGGATATTCCAGTCCCTAGAGTAATGTCTTGTTGCAGAATTCACACAGAACTAGACTTACAGTGAAGATATTTGATGACTTTGACACCAGAAGAAATGTCAGTGGTGTCCCTAAGTTTCAGTCATTTGCTATGTTCAGCTTGGTTTCTTTCAACAGATCACTCCTAAAAAGAAGCTGGGTCAAAACTGTCCTAACAAATTTAACATTGGGTACTCTTCTGCCACCACCAAAGTATTGTATTGGGACAAAAATGTCCATGATGATAAACTGCTGGACACTTCAGTAGTTTAGATCTCTGGCTGTGGAGCCAGAGGTTTCGAATTTGATTCCCCACAATGCCTCCTTGACAGGGGCTAGATTCGATGATCCATAAGGTTCCTTCCAGCTCGGCAGTTGTAAGATTATTTTTGGTGAACCACAAAACCAAGAAGTGAATGAACATTTTCTAGTTGTCAGAAATTCAGGTAGGTTTGACACAGGAATTCTCAGTGGGCTCAGGAAATTACAAACTGTGAAATTGCAAGCTCTAACTTTCATTCAGCTCTAAGCCTAATGCTAACCTTGACCCTGCTGCTAAGCATCAATTTAGAAAAGATCACAAAATTCATTCAACACCAGCTGTGGTTTTTCAGAATCCATGTGGATGAGTGCTAATGGAGTTACTAACCTACACCAGGCCCTTCCATGTTGTATGTCACCACTCCATTGCCTCCCTCGTCAAGGTCAGTAGCAGTCATAGTGATGACAGATGTCCCTGCCGGCTCGTTTTCATACACACTAGTACTGTACTGTTTTTTGGTAAACTGAGGTCGGCAGTCATTGATGTCCAGGACTGTAATTAATACCTGAAATCAAAGCAAGTCAACAATGTCATTGTGAATGGTGAAGACCCTGTGGACGTTGAAGGAAATGACTGTAACAAACCTCATCAGATGATAACAGTGTAAGACTCTACCCGACACAAATATCTTGACTTGTGATGCAGTGCAAGTCTGCTGCTCTAAAAAAGGTAAGGTAAAGGTTCCCCTTGACAATTTTTGTCCAGTCGTGTTCGACTCTAGGGGGCGGTGCTGATCCCCGTTTCCAAGCCATAGAGCCAGTGCTGCTCTACACTTAATTCCCTGCCCCCTTTCTTGGCCCCTCCACAGAGCTGAGGATGTGTTAACATTTGCCAATATCCTGAAGTGGCAAATTAAGAGGAAGGCTAATTTTTGGTTCGTTTCCAGTGGTCACATGAGCTAAAAACAGACCATAACAATCCTATTTGCACTAAAAAAGTTGATGCCCCTGACAGGCTAGAAAGGTGCTGGTAGGAATGCTCTGGGGATAATTTTATTTACTCCAGCAATTTGTGTGTGTGTGTGTGTGTGTGTGTGTGTGTGATCACTGTCAAAAAGAGACAACCAAGCTGTCCCCATAGCAGTCAAAACAATGGGCTAAAGGCTTGTCTGATCACACCCTCAACGTACACACCCTTACGTACATAATGGGAGTGGCATGGCTTTTTCTTCCATGGTTCTGTCCCATTTTACACTGATAACGTGGGTCGAATTGCTTCCATGACTTGAATTGGTATGAAGGAGAGGAAGCTGAGGTTTTCCCTTCAAAAAGAGACAACCAAGCTGTCCCCATAGCAGTCAAAACAATGGGCTAAAGGCTTGTCTGATCACACCCTCAACGTACATAATGGGAGTGGCATGGCTTCTTCTTCCATGGTTCTGTTCCATTTTATACTCATAACGTGGGTGGGATTGCCTCCATGACTTGAATTGCTATGAAGGAGAGGAAGCTGAGGTTTTCCCTAAATGCTCAGTCACTGTATTCCAGCAGTGGTTTTTCTTGTGTTGAGCTAAAGATGTTTATGTGAAAGTAGACAATAGTTTTCAGATGTATTAGATCTCATAATCTCCAGTTAATAATTATGTTCTGGATTATGTATTCTGTTTAGAAAAAAAGTGCCAGACTAGGGAAGGTAATTTTAAAGTATCAGAAAGAGCACTTCTAACGGAATCATTGGCAAATGTGTCACTAGGGATTAACAATAAAGGAAACCAGAAATCAACAGAACAAAGATTTCAGGGACACATTAATGACAATAATTCAACAACCTAAATGTCTTGAATTTTAAATGGTAACAGCTACACACTACTACTACTACTACTACTACTACTACTACTAATAATAATAATAATAATAACAATAATACTACTACTACTACTACTACTACTA